TTTAGTGCAATCACTTCAGTCATCCTGTATATATACTTGCATGTTTTTCCCCTTGCCTTTTTTTTTTCCGTCTTTTCTCCTTTCTCTCATCTTTATTTTTTAATCCTTAAGTTCCATTTCTTTCCATTTTACTATATCTGTTATACCTCTCAGATTTTATTTCGTCTTTCGGGTTCTTACACTAGGGAGACAACATGGTATTTACACACATGTGTCTGATTTAATCCACTTATGAGTATGGACTCTAGTTACATCCACTTACTTATGAAGGCTTTTTTTTTTTCTTAATTTTAGGGAAGGGGCTACAGGGTGTTCAAGGTCTCACTACTAGATCAAACTTGTAGTGATCCGCCTGTTTACAGCCTGCCAAGAGCTGGGATTATAGGCGCACACCACTATGCCCAGTCTCAACTGCCATCTCACTGTGCCCCGGGGTTGGGGCTGGGACGGCAGGCCTGGGGATCAAACCCCGGGCCCCTGCGCCTGCTTGCAGGTGCTTTAATCTGCTGAGCTATTTGGCCAGCCCCCTATGAAGGCTTTGAGTTTGTCTTTCTTTATTACTAAGTAATACTCCATTGCATAAAAATACCACATCTTTTTCATCCATTCCTCGGGTGATGGGCATTTTGGTCGCTTCCAAGATTGCTGGAGGAAATTTAAATCAGCTTAACATTCAGGTTGTGGCGTAGGTACCACTGGGGACTTCTAGTCAGACTTACGTTGAGAGAGAAATCTGTATCACTAAATAAATACATCAGAGGAAAAGCACCAAATCAATAATCTAAACTCCCACTTCAAGAACTTAGAAAAAGATCATAATAAACTCAAAACAACCAACAAATATACTTCCACAGAAAAAAATTAAGATCAGAAATCATTTATATTGAAAACCAAAAAAAAAAAAAACCAATGAGACAAAGAGCTGATTCACTGAAAAGAAAAATGAAGTTGACAAACTATTAAGAGTGTCAAAGGAGACTAGGGAGCTAGCTCAGCAGTCTAAGTGCCTGCCTGACAAGCACAAGGACCAAAGTATGATTCCCATGCTATGCTGGCTGGATGCACTGTGCCAGCCACTGAAACCAGGCATGGTGGCTCACACCCATAATGCCAGCGCTGAGGAGGCTCAGACAGGAGGATCACTAAAAGTGTGAACTGTGTAGTGAGACCGTGTCTAATCAACCAATAAATCAATAAATTTTTAATAAAAAGTGACAAAGGAAAGGGTCACAACACAAATTACCAATGTTAGGGTTGAAATGGGATAGCATTACAGTCTATTCATTTAAATTTGACAACTACAAGAAATAGTTCAATTCTTTAAACTGCCCCAAATAACACAACATAACATGAGTATCCTAATAAATATTATGGGACTGAATTTGTAATTTGAAAACATCCAAAAAGGATACCTTTTGGCCTAGCTGGTGTCATTTAAGAATTTTACCATTTAAACAATTAATACAAATTCCACACTTCCAATTTATTTTATAAAGCTAGTATTTCCCTGATATGAAATCAAAGACAGTATTGCATGTGGCAACTACAGGTCATTAGCCCTTTTTTTTTTTTTTTTTTTCCAGAACTGGGGATTGAACTCAGGCCCTTGTGCTTGCCAGGGAAGTGCTTATTCTACTGAACCATCTCCCCAACCCCCATAGCCCTCTTATAGTAGCCTTAAAAACAAAACAAACAAACATCAATAAAATTATGGAAAAAGAACTCACCAAACAGGGCCAGGGAGATGGCTCAGTGGAATAAGCACTTCCCTGGCAAGCACAAGGGCCTGAGTTCAATCCCTGGTTCTGCCAAAAAGAACAAAAAACAAAGAACCTCTACTACTTATGGTAAAAACCAGAATTTTATAATAATAGAAACAGGGAAAAGAAGGTCTATTTATATAACTATTACTGAACAGAGCACTAAAGTAACCTAACAAGACAAAACAAAAATTAAACAAGAACACAGTGATACAATCTGTCAAAATAAGGCTGGAAAGAAAAGGCAAGCAGATTTTTAAGGGTTTAAAATTGTCTCTATTTGCAAATGATATGATTATGCAGAAAATTTCAAAGAATTCCAACTCTTAAATGAATGTATCACGGTCACAGAACATAAGGTAAACATACAAAAATGAATTGCATTTCTGTATAGTACTAATAAATATCCAATAAGATTTACATACAATGATCATCTACAATCCCCCAAAAATTGCATACAATGGTACGCTGAAAATGCTAAAGAAACCAAAGGGAATATAAAGAAATATAGGAAAATACCACGCTCACGAAGTGGAAGAGTCAAAATAGTAGACACTAATTCTCACTGAAGTTTCAGGTCTTATCCGAGTTCCTATCAAAATCTCAGCAATTTCTTTTGTAGATATAGTCTATTCAAGTGAATTTCACAACTGGAGAGAATAGCTCTACTGGACTCTTTTGGAATATTTTGCTGAGTTCACACACCTATAATATTCAAATGACGTAACTAAACAAAAAGGGGATATATAAATGTCCACTTTGTATCTGTGTATTCAAAATGGTTAGGATATATAGTTACATCCTCTTAATGAATAGAGGGATTTGTTGTAATAGTGTTTGTAAATAGGATATCATGTCTGCATCTTGTCCAGCAAATAACCACTAGGAAGAGAATATGCAATGTGTTAATTATTGAAACTGTTCTATCAATTTGATTTGAAACTGTCTCTTTGCTATTTGTTTCTCAATAAAATTATGGAGAAAAATAAAAAAAATTCTTCGAGATGATTCTAAAATTTATAAAAGCAAAGAACTAGAATGACTAATATCTTTTTTGAAAATAGAGGAATAAAGTAGGAGGAATCAGTCTATACAATGTGAAGACTGACCCAGCTATATGAATCACAGCGTATGGTTCTGTGGAACCCAGAAATAGAACCACCTAAGTATGTTCAACTGACTTTTGACAGAAATACAACAAGCTGGTATGATGGTGACTGAAATTCCAGCACTCTGGGAGGCTGAAGCAGGAGGATTGCAAGTTCAAGCCCAAGTTGGGCAATTTAGTGACTTAGTATGACCCTACCTCAAAATTTTTTAAAAAGTAAATAAAATGCCACCGTAAGTCAAAAGAATGGCCACCTGAAGGCTGACATAAGAGGAAAATTAATTCTACATGGGCCATGCGATTAGATATAAAGTGTAGTCTGTAACACTTGGGGGAAAAAGATAAGAGAAAAATCTTTGGAATCTAGGGTTAGGCAGAGAGCTCTTAAGCTTGACACCAAAAGAAAACTCCATAGAAGGAAAACTTTGTTAAATGAATCTCATAAAAATTTAAAACTTCTGCTTTGTAAAACATCCTATTAATTTTAATGAAAAGACACACTACAAATTAAGAGGAAAAACTGCAAATCACCTACTTGAAAAGGGACTAGGATACATAAACACTGTACACTCAACAGCAAAATACCTATCCAACCATAAAAAGGATAAAAAAGAAATGAGGGCAAAGCAACAGAAAAAATGGCAAATATACATATAAAAGGCTTCCAATATAACTGGCCACTGTGGAAATACACTTAAAGCCGCAGGAATTATCACGGCATATCTACCAGAATGGTTACAGAAAGCAGCAACACTAACCGCTGACAAGGATGGGAGGAGCTGGATCTCTTATACACTGCTGGCAGAAATTAAAACGGGCCAATAGCGTGGTCCCTCTGGGAACCAGTCTGGCTCTATGATGTATGTAAAACTAAACTCACAGACAGAGATGGTGGCTCATAAGACACTCTCAGCACTCTGGAAGGCTGAGATAGGAGGCTTACAAATTCGAACCCCAAGAACATAGGGCTCAGGGAGACCCTGTCTCAAACAATTAAAAAAAAAAAAAAAAGCTGGAAATACAGCTCAATGTGAAGGCCTTGGTTTGCAATTTCCAGTATCGAAATAAAATATACTTAAGTATGCAATTGCCAAACGATCCAGCAGCTGTATTCCTAACATTTATTCCAGAGAATTAATGATTTACGTTTACACTGTTACATTAGGAACTACAGGAATGTTTATTGTAGCCCTATTTATAACAGCCCAAACTGGAAACAAACCTTGGTTTCTTTCAAAGTCTGTTACTCCATACCATGGAATACCACTCGGCAAAACTACTGATACAGTACTAGCAATAACCTAGATGAATTTCTAGAAAGTTTGCTGAGGGAAGAAACCCAATGGCGTTCTCGCTAGGTGTCCCCGCCACACGCCTGCCTCCCCCCCCCCCCCCATCCCCCGGGCACAGAGACTGGGCAACTGTCCCAGCAGTCCACACAGAGACTTCTCCAAACATCTGACCGGGTAGAGAGGACTGTCCAGACTGTTGGACACATCTCTGCCCTCGCAGCCACCATCGGAACCGTCTGGGCCAGAGCGCTAGGACCAGGAGTTCTAAAACTGGCCTCGGAGAGCTCTACACACTTTACTAGCAGGGCATTCACAGCAGTATTAGAAGCTAAAATGGAACGTTTTCCAAGGCTAGACCCGCGCAGGGTGATCACCCACCACACGCCCCAGGAAGTCCACGCACACACGCCGGCGCGCGGAGACAAAGGCGGATCCCCGGAGAACCCCCTTCTGCCCGCCGAGCCACCCACAGCGCGCCCCAGGTCCACGGGCCAGAGCGCGGGGCGCTCCTTCCAGCGCAGACCTCGCGGCCGGAGGGCTCGGCCTGGGAGCTGCGGAGGACCGCAGGGCTGCGCGAGGGGACCCCGAGAGGAGGGTGGGCCGCGCCCAGCCCACCAGCGCCCCGCTGGAGCTCCCGGGCAGGCGGGCCAGGACCCGAACCCCTCGCGGGCCGGGCGCATCATTTACGCGGACAAGCGGGCAGCAGCCGGCACTCGGGAGCCCCGCAGGCTAGGAAGGCTTCGGGGGGAACCTACAGACTCCGGGGCTGCGGAGGGGCGCCGGGAAGCCCACAACTCCGGCCGCGAAGTTTTGGGGGTCCCCCAGAGGGCGCGGACTCACCCCGCCCCGCGCGTCATCGGTGGCGGCCATGGCCGGGCGGGCGGGCAGCGAGCGGCGGTGTCCCCCGGCCCGACCCTAGCGCGTCCC